ATAACACTTCTTCCAACTCCTTTTTTAATTGTCTCCTTAACACTCTGTCCTCCTCGGTCAGCCCATTGTGAGATTCCTTTACATCCAAATTCTCTATTCGAGAGATTARGCCCAATTTTTGCTCCTCAATTCTACCAAACTGATCTCTATTCCACTCTACTTATAAGGTCTATTTCTTGTTGAGAAAATAGCCTCCTCAAAAAAATGTAAGCACCACTCAATCATCTCTCTTCCTACCAAAAGCACCATTGCCAAATTTTTCTCCTTTATTTTCAGTGAAGTTTTTACACTGAAAATGTCTTCAGAACCCTACTCCAAGCCATCAATCGAAAAGTAAAGCACCCTACTCCAATTCCACCCTAAACTTACATCATTGATGTATTCAGCTCGGGCTGTTGAACTCATAATTTTCAAAATATATCCTTGAGTGTTTGGGCTGCCACCATCTCAAAAAGCCAATACATTCATGTTATCTCTAGCAACAATCAAATCATACCCACAATCATCATCTTTATCGAAAGCATGTCTATCCTTGCTTGTATCTGTTGAAACTTGAAAGTTGTGGCACTGTGCCCATGTCCTATTCCAACATTCCTTGACAAGTTGTGTCATCCTCGCCCTCCACTACTGATGAAAAAACACCATCACACCTGGAGAATATAGTTTTCTAAGAAAGACCATCCCTCGATCCACCCTTGTCACCTATAACAGCCAACCCCAACTCCTCTTGTACAGATGGAATCCTCACCTAATCATCAATAGGATCAACAGAAAAAAAAAAAAAGTCACATTCACAAGCAGACATATGAATCGCCTCTTTCCCATTTTCTTCAGCCTCACATTGAACCAATACCTTCTCTCCTACCAACAATGTCATTGCATCAACCAAGCTCTTCTCCTCAACATTTCGCACATATCTTGTAACCACCCATTCCCACCTCTTTGTTTCCTTTTCCTTCTCTAAAACATTTAGAAACCAGCTTGGATAATTATGGCTTCCTATACAATATTAATTTATAAATTTCAATAAAAATTTTAACTTTACATGGGGAGGAAAACCATCTACAGCCTCATCCTTGAAACTTGGCTGGTTATGGTTCTCTACATGAAATAATGTCAAAACAAAGTCCTACAGCCCACAATGGGACAGGACTGATTGCCATATGTAAAAATTCTATCTATTTGTTTATTTCCTTAGGATTCTCTTTCAAACAAAAAAAGAGGGAAATATAAACCAGATTTTTCAATAGAAAATTTCTGTAGTTAAACTTTATTTAGTTTATTCTATTGATTTACACTTCCATATCAGAATCATAAGGTTTTCTCTGCCCTTGGTAGAGATAATAATTAAAAAGAATATCGATGTGATATCTCAAATGGACCTTACCCAAATACTATAAACCCAGTTATTAATATAATTGGTGAATTATGTTATGTAAGACCTTATCAAATTTTCCATTAACAATCACTATTTCTAGAATAGAACCATACCTTCAGCATCCACAAGAATTTGTCTAGTTCTTTAACAATGGTACGCATACTCAATAGCCTTGCACTAGGTTCAGTTTCATCTACACTGATCTGTTTTACCTCTCCAGCCAGAAACATGCGAACTTGAATATGATCCTTGCCCTCACGATTTTCCACAAATGCAAAAGCATAGGTATTCGGAAGTGTTGCCCCCTCTTGAAACTGCAAAAATGTCATTCCAATTTGCACCAAGCAATAAAATTAAAGATATCATCAGCCAATACATGCTTATCTTATAACAAATGCTATTTTTCTTTTGCGATCATCTTTACCAGTGCTAAACATACTATTTTTTTATGAATAATGCTAAACATACTATAAATCTAGGTATAACTTTATTTAGTTTCCATAGTGGCTGTAGAGCTAAAAAGTAAAAACAATAAAAGTAACCGGACATGAAAAATGTAAACACAGCATATAACTTACAAAAGAGAAAAACGTTCCTTTGTATCTCATCTAACTGGTATATTCTTTGCAAATCTCACAGTGAGGATTGCTACCACTTACTAATCTCCCGTTCCTTTACTGCAAAGTCATGGGATTGGCTTTTTTCAATGTTTGGGTGCAGGTGAAATATGCCAACAGAAGTAAGCATGATCTTTAACCCTTTCTACCTTTCTCTTGGCCTAAAAAAAGAGGAAGGATTATGTGGAGACGTGCCAGAGGCCCAGAGCAGCTATGATTTGGACAATCTGTGAAAAGCTAGAATCTTCCGAGAGAAGGAGAGGAGCAGCCAAGATTTGAAGGATTGTGTGTTGAATAGGACAATAATTGATTAAAGATGCTAGACAGGATGTCGGTGGTAGATGACCAAATCTCATAGGGGTACAACAAGGAAAACAGGTGTTATTTATGTGGTGGAATTTGTCTTCCATCTACTGATCCACTGCCATTCTCTTTTGAGGTCTAGGCTCATTTTATTGCTCTGTTCCAACAGAAGGTTCTACAAATAAAGCTAGCCATTGATGTTTCTAGCATTTAAACTTATTAGGTGTGCAAGGGTACTTGAAGAAGTTACACAGCACCGCCCCAACCTTCGGACCAGGCCCATTTAAATTTTAACAAATACTCAGCCCAAGACCACCCAAGTTGCATGCCTACAGTTTAGGAGGGCAGGCATGAAATTCAAAGTGAAGAGACCATAAACCTCTAGGATCAATTACAGATGTGTCAGATCTAACAGTTGGCACTGGGTATTCAAATCCAATAGAATCTTTTCATCACTTCTTCTGCCAAGAGGTGACTCATAAAAATATTTAAAAAAAAAAAAAAACCAATCCCTATCGGTTACTTCAACTTAAGAGAAATAGTTAGTGCCTATCTCCTTATCTCCCTATGTGCCCCTATCTCCCTATGCCCTCTTACCACTAGAGTTAAGATCTTGTCAAGAGTTTTGTCCTACACAGTTTTGTGTGCCATTTGGGAAGGCAGGAACATCAGAACGTTTCATAATTAGGCAAAACCCTTTCACAAAATGGTAATGGTGTGATTCATACTGATTCCTGGCCGGTGGGACCATGGGAACAGGAAACAAACTGAGAGAAAAGATGTTATTCCTTTATCAAGTGCTCCATTTAGCTCTTGTTATGAACCATAAATGTCTTAAAATAAAGGGAGATAATGATAGCTCAGATGGGGGAGAAGTAATAAATCCATAGAAAGCTTTACCATCAGATTAGAGAGGCATGGTGTCTCTGGCTGCCAAATTGGAACTCTTGTTTATATGGAGCCTCAGATCCAAAAAGGCACCTGCAGATAGTCTTGCAAGAGGGTGAGTCACAATGAGTGTGCTATTCTAGGGATTTTCTTTCCCAGAATAGCCCCTTCTTTTCCTTCCCTTTTTCCCTTCTTTTTTTGTACATGTTACATAAAGGAGTTCATCTTTATTAGCAGGATCTGCCTCTTCCTTATTCTTATTTGTCCTAAGAGCTTGTACACTTCTACTCTATCTCACATCATAATTGAAATAATTTCATCTGTATTGGTGATAAAAGAGAAGCATATTTAGAGGACGCCTTTCCTACATATCTCCCCTTAAAAGAAAACAATTAAAACAATCAGAATGAAATATAAAAATTCAGAGAGCATTCGTTAACGTAACAAATTGGGGAGAATTCAAGCAGACCAGTAGAATACCTGTTCTTTGGAAAGTAACACAAGATCATTATCCGATATTGCCTTGCACTCGTCAGAATTATAGCCCAATTTTACTTTCAGAAACCCATCAACCTCACTGCATCCCCTTGTAACACATCCAGTCCATTCCGACGCTGCAATCAAAAAGACAAACAAAGGGTCCGAAAAAATCACCAAACAATCAATTCACACCTTTGGGTCTCACTTAGAATTCTAAGTCCACAAAATCATGCAAAAGCCAAACGCATAAAGTTACAGAAAGGAATACCCTCTTCATCGTCTTTTCCTTGAACGACCTGGGCTTTCACCTCCTCGAACAGGAGCGGCTCGAAGGTGCCAATATATTCGTTAACGTCTTTGTAAGTATCTTTTATTTTGTTCAGACCCAGAGCAGCCCCATTTTCTCTGGAGTTCTTCTGCTTCACAAGACAAAGAAAATTACAACTAAATTCAAATTCTAAAGAAGAGAGAAAACAGAGAAATGAGTTAAGTGTACTACGTCGGATTCCTTGAGGAGGCGTAGATAGTCCCAGCTAAGAACTATTTTGTGAAAACGATTATGATGGAAATCATCGCGATGCTTAACAGTCTCAACTGTCATGTCTTGCTCCTTGTGTAAACAGGTAAGAGAGACGAAGAGAAAATCAGAGCCAGGAGCTGTCTTCACCAGTCGCAACTCCCAGACCCCGAGTGGGGAGTGCGCTGCGCGGGCAACAGGGTTTATAAGAGGGTTTTGGGACGAGGAAACCGGAAAACAAAGAAACGGGGAGTGATCGTGGACCGGGCCGGGCTTAGCACCTATGATAAGGGTTATAACCTGGGACTAGGCCCAGCTTGGCCTGGAACCCGGATCTAAAATGTAAGCCTGGGCCCGGCCTAGTCACTTCTCTCTCATCATATATTGCGAGTTGCGCTGGGCTTGAAGTGTTGGGCCAAGGCCTAGTCAAAAGATTGGACTGAGGCAGGCTTGGTAAATGATTATTTTTTCCCTCCAACAGCTACACAACGAATTGGGATATGCTCCTCACTGCCACATCCACCGTGTATGGGAGCATCTCCCTATGAATAATACCCCCCTCTCCCCCTCCCAACCCAGGTGCAAGTGTGATTTGATTACAAGCATCCGCTATAATTAGCATTAAACCTTTTTTTTCTTTTTTTTGCTTGAAGAGGCTAGCCCAATACCCCCCAACCCTGGTGGCAACGGCATTTAATCCCAAGTATCTATTACAACAAGTCAAAAATCCTACCAATTGAGCCATCATCAGCAAAAGACCTTATCAACCAGCTAACTGGCACCTTCCTTTCAAAATGTTTGATTAATCTACATTGTATTTAGAATTATACTTATGAAAAAAATTGTATTAACATTAGACATCACCATTTTGCATAGCGTATTATAATATACTAACGGAGACCTTTTCGATGCACGAGATTTGTTAAGTGAAAGCTAAACAATAAAAACACATAAGAGTATACAACTATTTTAGATTTTTAACTTTTTAAAATAATTAATAATTATTTGTATTTTGGGTTTGACTATGATATGGGAAAGATATGATATCTGAAAATTTGTTGACCAACCAATTAGTATCATAAACGTGGTAGCTAGTCAAGTGTTATTTATCAAAATTCATGGGTAGATTTTGATTGGTCAAAACTCCTTCAATACCATATATTTCCCGCATCATAGATTTCCCCTTATATTTTATATACTACTTTTAATAATTTTTTTGCAATAAAAATAATAATAATTAATTTCAGTTAGAATTGTTCATCATACTGATGACCTGAGTTGGTCGATTTCCTAGTATTTCCAATTGGCTTTGGTTCAACAATTCCCCAACCCGACCAAGTTGGATCAGTTTCGTTTTATCTATTTGTAAATCGACCAAAATCGAATAACCTGATCATAGATATATATTAATATTTTATCTCATAATTTTACTTTTTAAATTCATTTTTAATAATGCCACCATAACTTTCTTAATTTAAATTTAAATACTTTGAATTGACCAACTAAACAAAAAAAATTGACCCAAAACGATACAACCCGAGTTGTCCGGTTTTCACTAATGGCCAGTTAGTTTCGGGTGATCAACTTCCTAACCTGACCAAGTTGATTCAGTTGGCTAAACAACCTACAACCGACCAAACCAACCCGTGAACACTCCTAATTTAAACTAAATTAATAGTCTAATCTCTAATAAATAAAAATAGTTTAATCTCCAATAATTATTAAAAAATTATAGTGAAAAATACACAACTATTTAAAATATATTGGTAATGAAAATACAATAAATACTAAACAATATATTAAATTAGTTAATAAGTACAGAAAATTAAACTTAAGATGTTAAATAACAATAGTTTAACCTCCAAAAATTATTAAAACTTTTTTGTTAAATAACAAAACAAAAATAGATTTATACACAACTATTAAAAATATATTTATCACAAAAAAGATAAATTATTGTTGAAAGTAAAATAAATATTCATTTTAGTATATATAAATATATAATAAAATATAGATTAAGATTTTAATATTTTTTTCTGAAAATTATTTCCTACAATTATTGATATAAGTGAAATTAGTTATTTATAATATTACTTATTTATTTAAATTTTAAATTATTCATTATATATTGAATTTAATAATCCACAAAATTATAATTTATACTACATAGTTTCTTTATTAATTTTGTAAAATATTAAGTTATTATGAATTTAAATATTATGTTATAATTATTTTTCTAGTTTTAAGAGTTTTTTAATTTATTACATAATTTAATTATTTTAACTATTTAAAATCTAGTTATGTTAAATATTATGATTGTTAAAATATTTATTTATTTAAATATTTAAATAATATATAAATATTTAAAATTGTTGTCCTTTGAATTTTATGTATTTTAAATTTATTTCATAATATTAAATATTTTGTTATATAGTTATTTAACTATTTTTAATGTTTTGTTATTTAAGATATTTAGTTACTGGAAATTTTAAATAATATTTTATTTTTTAATGTTAGTTTTTTATTATTTGAATAACATTTAAATTGAATAATCTGGAAAGTCATAATTTATATTGTTAATACATAATTTCATGATGAATTTTATTACTTATGTGTTTTAGTATATTGGTTGTTTAAAAAATGACAGAATAAAAAATAAAAAAAGGAAACAAATTCTAGACTAGTGTGTTTTAGTGTGTGTGTAAGAGAGTACTAAGAAAGAGAGAGACTCCAACTTTTCTCTAAAAACTCCCCAAGTTGTTTGTCTAGTCATTAATTATCTTTAATGACGAAGCTAATCTTGAGCGGTCCCTCCATCTCAAACATTAAGGTTGCATTTGAATGCAATGTAAATATTTTTTTATGTAAAAGTACATTGATGGAGTTCAACACCGATTGGTTTAAAGTTGCGAACCGTTATAAGTGACTATCGACATAAATATTTACATCGATTTTATCGATGTTGTAAAACTACTCTCCATCCAAATACTGACAAATATAGACTAGAGTGTTTAGTTACACCAATCCGTATTTACACCACAAACAAGCGGAGCCTGATCATTTTGATGACTAAACTCCACACCCTTTCTTAAATACTCCATCTTCGAGAAATGGCATCAATACTGATTGTTGCCTTTGTCCCATTGAGTGCTTTACCATCGTGAAAAACGTTAGTCAATGAAACTTCATTCTTGAAAGCATTTATGTAAACATCTACTCTTTCTACTCCATGCATTTTCATCTTTTGTCTAGTGGAAAGTTTAGTGAAAATAAATTGGATCAGTTTTTTAATACTTTGATGCATCAGTATTGGTGCATATGGATGCAGGATACACTGTGAATATTAGTGTATTGGTCCTTACAGAACCTTGCTCACACCATTCTCGCATCCTATTGCAATTGTGCATTGGGAATATCTTCATACTTGTATGTTTTTATTCATGGAGAGATATTCCCAATACATGGCTGCAATAGGTTGTGAGGATGGTGCAAATACAAAATCCAGTGTGAGGATAGTTTTGTGAAGACTAAATCTGAATATTATATAGACCCATATTAGCACATATTGCATTCCATCTTACATGCACCAATTATTCAAACCGATATTGTGCCACGTTTCTCTATTAAGAAAATACCATAGTGTGATTTAAATCACTAAGCCACTATGTAAGTTGCTTTTACACTCAAACTTTAAATGTAACCTTAAAGCACCAAACTGCTTTGTTTATTGTGATAAATGAAATATAATGACTTATATTTACTTTTGTGTCCACATACACTCCAAAGATTTGACATGTATTCATGTTCAACAACTCCAACTAGAGAATAAAATTCAAAATTGGTATTTTATAAACTAATAGATAAATAATCTATCAAATTCACATTTATATCAAAAAATGATTTTTGATCTCAAGGGATTTATATAAAAAAATATTAATAAATAAAATATTTTTTAGTACTTAAAATTTATATATATGCATATGATAAGCATCTTAAAAATTTTATATACTTTTATAAATTATTAATTATCATTTTAATTTACATTAAATAAGAGCATACTTGTTTTTTATAAAAATAAAATAAAATGTTTACAAAATATTAGAGAATATAATATTAAATTGAATGTATCAAATCCAATAATCTACATTTATATCAAAAAATAAATTTTCATTCAAAAAATATAGATATAAAAATATGAATAATAGAATAATTATTTTATTAATTACACAATTTTAATAACGTATTTAAGTATTGTTAATCAAAGCATTTTATAATTTAATATTTGATAGAAGTTTTAGTTAATGTTAAAAGTAAAAATAGTGAAAAAAATAATTTATGTAATAATTAAAATATATTAGTTGCATATGTTTTGTGCCTTATACTTAAATAAAAAATAATAATATAATCACATTAATTTATGAAATTCTATAGAATATGTGTATTTGATTATCGATTGATGCATTATCATAAAAAATTGTATGATATTTTATGCAATCTGAACTGAGGTGGACAAGCAACAGATGAAGTCCTACCGACTTGGACGAGCCCAGGTGGAAAGATAAAGTGGTGCATCAAGCAGAATTTGCAACCAAAGCATAGTTAGAGGCCCCATGGAAGAGGTCCACAAGGAAGGCCCTCCGACGCTTAAGTTAGTAAGAGGTGAAGAGCTCGGTCAGGCCAACGTATTGAGACCGAGCAAGTCCGGGCTGAGCAAGAAAGCAGGAGAACAAAGGGAGGTTAGAGAGTTGAAGGAGTGAAAAGACACTCTACCTTCAAGGGAAATGCTTTTAAATAATTGAGTGTTGTAATTTGCTGGACTACATTTTGTGTTTCGCGTGATGTCCTACTTAAGAGGCCAAGGTCCGTGATCTTTTGGGTTTCCACACTCTTTGGCGTGGGAAGAGCTATAACTTATCCGCCTAGGGTCTCTGCTAGATGACAAATGCATATGGCAAAATAGTATTTTCATTTTTTTTTTTGAGATTTTTTAGAGCATAAGATCTTATTAATAATGAGAGATCGAGTATGATTCACTATTCAATTAAGTCCCCTCTTGGATACCATTTATTGCATTAAATGACCGTTAATTGGTACTTGGGATATAATTAACGTTTCATGCATGCATTATACATGGCACCAAAGGACGATCCACCTCTAACTGATGGACATTTAAGGTTTGCCACATCATC